TTCAGGAGTAGATTCCTTAGTGCCCCTTACCCATTTAGCCCATCCCCCCTCCCACAACCCCTCCGGTAACCCTCAGTTTGTTCTCCATATTTATGAGTCTCTTCTGTTTTGTCCCCCTCCCTGTTTTTATATTATTTTTATTTCCCTTCCCTTATGTTCATCTGTTTTGTCTCTTAAAGTCCTCATATGGGTGAAGTCATATGATTTTTGTCTTTCTCTGACTAATTTCACTTAGCATAATACCCTCCAGTTCCATCCATGTAGTTGCAAATGGCAAGATTTCATTCTTTTTGATTGCTGAGTGATACTCCATTGTATATGACATTTTCTTTATCCATTCATCCATAGATGGACATTTGGGCTCTTTCCATACTTTGGCTATTGTTGATAGTGCTGCTAAAAAAATGGGGGTGCAGATATCCCTTTGAAACAGCACACCTGTATCCTGTAGATAAATGTCTAGTAGTGCAATTGTTGGGTCGTAGGGTAGTTCTATTTTTAGTTTTTTGAGGAACCTCCATACTGTTTTCCAGAGTGCCTGCACCAGCTTGCATTCCCACCAACAATGCAAAAGAGACCCTCTTTCTCCACATCCCCGCCAACATCTGTTGTTGCCTGAGTTGTTAATGTTAGACATTCTGACAGGTGTGAGGTGGTATCTCATTGTGGTTTTGATTTGTATTTCCCTGATGATGAGTGATGTTGAGCATTTTTTCATGTGTCGGTTGGCCATCTGGATATCTTCTTTGGAGAAGTGTCTATTCATGTCTTCTGCCTATTTCTTCACTGGATTATTTATTTTTTGGGTGTTGAGTTTGATAACTTCTTTATAGATTTTTACTAACCCTTTATCTAATATGTCATTTGCAAATATCTTCTCCCATTCTGTCGGTTGCCTTTGGTTTTGTTGATTGTTTCCTTCGCTGTGCAGAAGCTTTTTATTTTGATGAGGTCCCAGTAGTTCTCTTTAATTTTTTTTTAATGTTTACTTATTTTTGAGAGACAGAGGGCATGAGCAGGGGAGTGGCAGAGAGAGAGGAAGACACAGAATCTGCAGGCTCCAGGCTCCACAGAGCCCCATACAGGGCTTGAACCCATGAACTGTGAGATCATGACCTGAGCCGAAGTAAGATGCTTAATTGACTGAGCCACCCAGGCACCCCTACGTCTTTAAAAATCTGCAAATATCGCCAACCCAAAACAGAACATCCAGGCTCCTGTAATAATAATCAGTTCAGCTATCTTTGCTTTGCTAACTGTCATTTGCATAAAAACACATTTCTCAATTTTGTATTATGAAGGCATACTTCTCAAGGCAGAGAGATATTATTTGCCAAGTTATGATAACTTAAATATTTAGACATAAGGCACAGGGCTCTGGTTGTACTCTGGCCTTTTGCTGGCACCGAATAATTACATTTCTATAGACACCACGAGTTAATAAAGGCCCGTGACAGGGTGTGTGCCTGGGAGCCGTTTGCAGCTATTACCCCCAGACTCTGGAGAACCCTCTTCCACCTGGGGTCCTTATGGGGGTCACCACCCACACTCACTCTTCTCAGATGCAAACTCCCTATCTCGGGTCTCCCGGATCTCACCCTCATCCCAGCTTGTGTTGTCCAAGATGCACTGGTAACCACTTTATCACAGTAATTATGCTCCAGTGAAAGACCAGGGCCACCAGGGCCGGCAGCCACTCTGCATCTGAACAGGGAATATAGGGAAGCCAATCGTCATGCTGGAAGGCAGACATGGGAGGGAGAGACTACGTGGTGCCTCAATGGGCCCAGGACCCTGAAGCCCGCTTTGAGCTCCAGAAACTGGGAGAGGCGGGAAGGATCCTTCCCTAGAGCCTTCAGAGGGGGCACAACCCGTCCACAGCAAAACACTTTCAAACCAAAAACACATCAGTACCAGGGGCCAGTGACACGCAGTGAATGACATGAAGTTTGAGGCCGACATGAACCAAAGTGTGGCCTCAGCTGAGATCCGTTGGCCAGTTCAGGCCTTGTAAGAATGTGCTCAGCTCAGGCCACTAAAAACATATTTCATATAAAGGAAGGAAAAAAGGAGGAGGACTATGTGTCCGTGATAATTCACCTTAAATTTGAATTCTGTGAAATGCACATCAACAAAAGCATTTCCTGGATTTTTCTTCTGAATTTGCTAAGCCACCTGATGACCATGGATAAAGGGGATCCCACAGAGGGAAACGTACTGGAGCTGATTGTTAATTTGGGGGAATATTGTGAGCCCTTTCTCAACACAGCCACTGTTAAATATTAAATATGTGTACAACAGTATAAATGTACCTAATGCCACTGAACTGTATACTTAAAAATGGCTAAAATGGTAAGTTTTTGTTAAGTATGCATTAACACAATAAAACATTTTTAATCAAGGGGTGCCTGGGTGACTCAGTCACTTAAGCCGCCAACTTTGGCCCAGGTCATGATCTCACGGTTCATGAGTTTGAGCCCTGAGTCAGGCTCTGTGCTAACAGCTCAGAGCCTGGAGCCTGCTTCGGATTCTGTGTCCCCCTCTCTCTCTCTCTCTGCCCCTCTTCCACTCGTGCTCTCTCTCTCTCTCAAAAATAAACATTTAAAAATGTTTTCTTAATTTTTAATCAAGAAAAAAATATAACCTGGGGCACCTGAGTAGCTCAGTCAGTTACGCCTCCAACTCATGGTTTCCGCTCAGGTCATGATCTCAAAATTCATGAGTTTGAGCCCCGTATGGGGTTCCACACTGCTAACTGTGTGGAGCCTAATGAGATTCTCTCTCTCTCCCTCTCTCTCTGCCCCTCCCCCCCAGCACTGTAAATAAATAAATACATACATACATAAACCTAAAAAAAAAAAGAAAAATACAACCTTACAATAAATTATATTAAAAAGGAAGAAAGCTCATCTCTGCCTACATAGTTTACCACGTATTACTATTATCTATGCTCTTGACGTTATTTATGCTGTTGCATCTGCATGGTGGGAATAACGTAGAAGCACCTGCCGCTGTGCATTTCTTCTTGGCTCAAATTCAGTGACTTCACATCGGGAGTCGTATTAGTCTGCTCGGGCTGCCATGATGAAATGCCACAGACCGGGTGACTTAAATAGCAGGAATTTCTCTCAGTTCTGGAGTGCGGGAAGTCCAAGATCAAGGTTTGGCAGGGTAGGTTGTGTCCTGAGGTCACCGCCTGTAGCTTGTAGGCGGCGCCATCTTGCTATGTGTTCACAAGGCCTTCCCTCAGCAGGTGCGTGTGGAGACAGAGACAGCAGCACTCTGACGCCACTTTCTGTAAAGATACTAGTCCTATAGGATCAGCCCTCCACCCCCATGACTCATTAACCTTGGTTATTTCCTTAGGGGCCCCACCTCTGAATACAGCCCTACTGGTGCTTAGGGCTTCAACATGGGAATTTGGGGGATCCAGTGGGGATGCAAACATTTGGTCCACACAGAGGTAGCTAATTCCATACTGTGGGAGTTCTTGCACCATGGAAACTGGCAAATGCTATGAATTGGGGCTTCTGGAGAGCTGTTTGTGACACAGAGGGGAAGGGCGACAAGGGTCACCTCTGAGAGTATCCTTCCTCCTCCCTCAAGCTGGGAGCACAGCAAGGTCAGGAGTCAGCCGGTGCCTCCCAGTCCTCAGCCCTCTGCTCTCACCTCTGAGAGGCTCTGTTGGCATTTGTCACATTGCTCAGGAGCTGGAATGCAGCCAGCGGCCATGAGGAGGAGGCTGACAGGTGAGGAAGTCTCGGTCACATGACAAATGAAACTTGTGAATGTGACAGTGGCAGACTCCACAGAAGGCAGCCCCTGGGTCAGACTGCTGGGCAAATGCCTTCCCTTCCCCGAGCCTCAGTCTTCTCATCTGTAAAGTGGGAATAACAGCTACCTCCCTTAGAGGGTCTGAGGGAGGACAGAATGGGGTAAGACAGAAAACACTGCACACTGACTGGAAAGCTACATGGATCGTCATCACCTGACACCCACCTCTGTGTTCCTTCCATTCACACCAGTCGGCACTGACTGCCCCGTGCACTATGCCAGGTGCCAGTGACCCAAAGCTCCATGCCCCGGTCAGTCCTCAAGCATCTCCCTTTGTAGCAGGAAGACAACACAGAAAAGGGAACCCTTGGGTGCTGATGTGGCCCAGAGGACTGTTGACGGTTGTCACTGCATGGGGAAGTGGGGGGAGCAGAGCCACAGACCCAACATCACAGCAGGTATTCAGTGGCAATGTGACCTTAAGTGATGTTCACGACCTTACTCAGGACCTCAGTTTCCTCTTGTAAAATGAGGACCATAACAGACCCTGCCTACGGGGAGAGTTAACTTCTACTTTAAAATGTAATTTTAGGGGCGTCTGGGTGGCTCAGATGGTTAAGCTGCCAACATGATCTCGCGGTTCCTGAGTTCCAGCCCTGCTTCCGGCTATATGCTAACAGCTCAGAGCCTGGAGCCTGCTTCAGATTCTTTGTCTCCCTCTCTCTCTGCCCCTCCCCTGCTGGCCCTCTCTCTCCCTCTTTCAAAAATAAATAAACATTTAACATATATATGTATATATATATATATATATATATACACACACACACATATACATATATATATAATTTTATTTGGATTTGTTTGAATCAGATATGGTAAGACACAAAGACACAGAAATTACTGTCATGAGGTAAGAATTTATACTCACTGATCCCTAGATCCCAGAGGCACGGAATCTCATGCAGGGCTGCATCGGGAGACACCAAGGTCGGGCAGGAAGCAAAGGAAGTGAAGGGAAAACACGGGCAGGAGCCTTTATCTAGTGTCTGTGGAAAAGACAAGGCAAAGCAGGTTAAACTGGTTTAAGATTGGCCAGTGGGAATAATTTCAGCGGATTCTGCAGATTAGGGGCTGCCCTGGGGAGAATGGGGTAGAGGAATATTGCCCTCCTGGAGCAGAAGAGCCAGATGGAAGAGGTGGTTTGGAGTACGGGCTCTGGACTGGGCTCTGGACTGGTTGGTTTGCATATGAAAGGTGTGCTCCTGGGCAAGTCTTTGCCATCTCTAGGAACTGGCCAGCACTGAGAGGGGCAGTCTCTCCCTGGTCAGTGAGGCTCCACCTGTCAAAGCATCAAGAACACAGCAAATAAGCAAAACACCCAGCACCCAGTAAGTGGGAGATGTCATCCCCACCTGTTTCAGCATTGACTTTGTGGCCTCCCTCTCCTTGCTTCACACGGGCGAGTCTTCCCTTCCCAGCTGGGTCCTAATTCCTGGAGGGCTCACTGCATGCCTGCCCCCAACCAGGGCAGAAGAAACCCTCTCTGGGCCCTGTCCTCTGGATAGAAAACAGGAGGAAGTAAATAAACAGTGCTGTTGTCAGCAGTGACACCAGGCAGTTCATGGGGAAGGGTAGAGACCAAGATCTGGCTCCTGGTTTCTCCTCCTTCCCTGTCCTTCAGGGAACCATTGTCATCTTCCTGCCTTACCTCATGCTCACATTCTGTTGCCTTTGTTTCCCCAGACCTTGACAAGCATCCAGATGAATGAAGCACTGATGAATGGCTTTCTCTAGAAGAGCTGTGGGAGGAGAGGGGACATGGCAGAGGTTAATCTACTGGCTGAGCTGGGAAGAAAGGTAATCATATTGGAAAGCGCCAAGCACCCAAGGCACACAGATCTGAGCATTGTCCAAGTCCAGGCCGCCCCAGTAGAGGGAACTAGAGTGAGTGAGGTGACCTGTCTGAACCTTAGTTTCTTCCTCTGATGGGTGGGAATAAAATTTCTTCATCTCACAGGATTGCCATGAAAAGTAAAGGTAACAGACAAGGCAGGTCCTGAAAGTCAGTGTCCTTGCCCAGGAGCAGTGGTTCTCAAACTTCAACAAGCTGGACTGGGGCCTGAGACTTCTCATTTTCACAAGTCCCCATGTGCTGCTGCTGCTGGTGGTCAACACAGTGATACCTGTCAGTGGTATGTGTATGTGGTACATGTATATGTATAGGTAGTAGGTATATGTTTCACTTTTTTTTTTTTAATTTTTTTTTTCAGTGTTTATTTATTTTTGGGACAGAGAGAGACAGAGCATGAACGGGCGAGGGGCAGAGAGAGAGGGAGACACAGAATCAGAAACAGGCTCCAGGCTCTGAGCCATCAGCCCAGAGCCCGACGCGGGGCTCGAACTCCCGGACCGCGAGATCGTGACCTGGTTGAAGTCGGACGCTTAACCGACTGCGCCACCCAGGCGCCCCTATGTTTCACTTTTTAAGGAGTGACTCAAACAGTTGTACCTCTTTACATTCCCAGTTGCTCCACATCCTTGCCAACAGTATGACTGATCTTTCAATTTTAGCCATTTAACAGATATAGAATTGTATCTCATTATGATTTTTGTTTTTTTAACTTAATTTTAATTTTTTAGAAAGAGAGAGGGTGTGCACTAGTGAACAGTGGAGGGGCAGAGGGGGAGGGAGAGAGAGAGAATCCCAAGCAGGCTCTGCACTCAGGGCAGAGCAAGACCCCATGACCCTGAGATCATGACCTGAGCCAAATCAAGACATCTAACTGACTGAGCTACTCAGGCGCCCCGAACAGTATTTTCTTCAATGCTTTTGGTGTTGAATTGAGAAATCTGCACCTAAGTCACAGATTTTCTCCTATTTTTTTTTTCTTGAGTTACATGATTTTAGGACTTAAATTTAGGCTTATGATTCATTTTGATTTAATTTTTGTATATAGTACAAAATATGAGGGGCATCTGGGTGGCTCATTCGGTTGAACAACCGACTTCGGCTCAGGTCATGATCTCACGGTTTGTGAGTTCAAGCCCTGCATCAGGCTCTGTGCTGACAGCTCAGAGCCTGGAGCCTACTTTGGATTCTGTGTCTCCCTCACTCCCTGCCCCTCCCCCACTCATGCTCTGTCTCTGTCTCAGAAATAAGTAAACATTAAAAAAAATAAAAACAAAAACAAAATATGAAGTTCATTTTTTTAATATAAATTTCCAGTTGTTCCAGTACCAGTTGTTCAAAAGACTATAATTTCTCCACTGAATTGTCTTTTCATCTTGTTAGAAATAAATTGACCACATAATCGTGGGTCTCTTTCTGTACTTGTTTCAGTTCCATTGACCTATTTGTCTTGACACTAATATATCTTGACTATAGTAGTTTTACAGTAAGTCTTAAAGTCAGGTAACATAAATCCTCCGTTTTTGTTCTTCAATTTCAGACAACTAGAGATAGCACTTTGAGTATTATGAATTTCTATAGGAATTCTAAGTACTAAGTACTTTGAATTTCTATAGGAATTTTAGAATTGCTTGCCAATTTCTACAAAACAGCTTACTGGGACTATGACTGAGATTGTGTTATATTTACATATTAATTTGGAGAGAACTGACTTCTGAACAGCATTGATACTGTTCATACTTATGTAGGAAATCTCCATTCGTCAATCTTTAATTTATCTCAGTAATGTTTTCTAGTTCTGTTCGGATCTTGCACATATTCTGTTATAAGTATTTCATATTTTTAAAAATTTTTTAATGTTTATTTGTTTTTGAGAGACAGAACACAGTGTGAGCAGGGGAGGAACAGAGAGAGAGGGAGACACAGAATCCAAAGTGGGCTCCAGGCTCCAAGCTGTCAGCACAGAGCCCGATACAGGTCCCGAACCCATGAACGGCAAGATCATGACCTGAGCTGAAGTCAAATGCTCAACCAACTGAGCCACCCAGGCGCCCCTAATATTTTTAAAAAATATTGTTTAATGTTTATTTATTTTGAAGAGAAAAACAGAGTGTGGGCGAGGGAGGGGCAGAGAGAGAGGGAGACAAAGAATCTGAAGCAGGTTCTAGGTTCTGAGCTGTCATTTCAGAGCCCAACGCAGGGCTTGAACTCACCAACTGTGAGATCATGACTTGAGCCAAAGTCAGACACCTAACCGAGTGAGCCACCCAGGCACCCCTAAATATTTCATATTTTTGTAGCTATTGTAAGTGATAGTGTTTTCATTTGACTTCCATTTTTTGTCATTAGAATATAGAAAACAATTGATTTCTGTGTATTGCTCTTGATTCCTGTGAACTTGCTTAAGTCACTTATAGTTCTAGTAGGTTTTTTTGTTGATTCCATTGGATTGGCTACATAAAGCACCAAGTCATCTGTGAATAAAGAGTTTTTATTTCTTCCTTTTCAATCTGGATGCCTTTTGGCTCAATTCTTATACTCACAGAGTTTTAATTTATACAGGAGACTGAGTGATGACACAGAGAGGGTAATGACACTGAAAGGTTTTTATAACTGACATTTCTTGCAGAGAAGGAAAATGCCATGCCATAGAGGGCCACCTGGGGAAACACTAGAGGAGGCAGAAGCAAGACCAAGCGGAAGGCATAGATCACAGCCTTTATTATGTTTTTCCCTGGCAAGACAAGATAAGGAAGAGGAACCAGTTTAGGATTGGCTAGTTTGACTAATTTGAATGGGCCTTGGGTTACAAGTGCTATCTTTAGTTGTCTGGCACCGAGGATAGGGTTGACTCAGGGCAGAGGAAACACTGGATTGGTGTGTGAGAATTAGATAAAAGTAGTGTTTTAGAGTATGGGTCTCATGGGTTAGTTTGCATATGAAAGGCATGCTAGGAGCCTTTTCCCTAGATCTAAGAATAGGCTAGCCTTGGGAGGGGCCATCTCTTCCCAGTCAGCAAGGCCACAAGTGCCAGAGCATCAAGAATGCAATTAAAAAAAAAAAAAAGTCAATACAATTGCCATGTGATGAATGCCAAATACATAAATACAGATTCTCAGAAAATACAGAACAATTTTACCTCTTTGTCTTGCCTTATTGCATAAGCTAGAACGTCCACCACAATGAATGGAGGTAGTGAGAGCAGACATCTTTGCCTTATTCCTGATCTTGGGGGAAAAGCAGGAGCAGGGTGAGGTGCCATGGAGGGGAAGGGACTGGGACAGTGACAGATGTGGCCAATGAGGAAGGGAGAACAGAAACTTAGGAGAACTTGGAGGAAGATGTAAGCCGTATTCTCAAATTGTGGTCCACAGCTCATAGCCCTCACTCTGTCCCTGACCCCTCCCCCACTCCTGACCCCTCCCCCACAGCACCCCTTGGGCTAAAAACCTGCATTTAGGCTCTGCCCATCAGGGAATCACAAAACACCAGGCTCTCCTCCTTCCAGAAGCCCCTCTGTGAGTAGAGCCACAGCTCAATGCTGATTACAGGGCCCTCTCATGCTACCAGGACAAGGGAGGATGAACAAACACAAAGACCACACACCATCTGTGAGCAGAAATCATGTCTCCTAATTTCAAGTCTCATAGGGATCCCACTGGGGCCAGGGGCTTGAACATGGCATGGAATGTGCAGCTTGCATCTAGGGAGATCGTATATGGGAGAGGCAGGGCCTGAGGCACCCGGGCGACAGGTACTCTGCCAAAGTGACCCAGAGCCTGTTGAGTAAACATGCCACGCTGCCCAACAGAAGGGGCTGGGGCACCCCCTAGTGGGGTCCAGCCCCCTCCTTGGGTGACCTGGCAAAGAAGAGACTGTCCAGCCAGGTTCCACAGCCAGGGAGGTAAGGTGGGGATAAAATTCAGGTGTCACCCCTCAGACAGGGCAGGCCACCCTCTAGAGGAACTGCCAAAAAGGCAGTCGGTCCCTTGTCCTCTCTTCTGTCCACCTTTCCAGCTGTCACCATTCACCCAAATGTCTTTCACAGCCCAGTGGACTCCATGACATTAAGGCTGCTTCCTGATGGTGCCTCAGTTTCCTGATGGTGAAAATAGAAAAACAACAAATCCACCACCCAATGTTGTAGGGCTGAAAATGAGGCAAATTTAGGGCCTGGCTCAGAGAAAGGGATTCCATGAAAATGCAGAACCTGTCTCCTGGGGCCTAGGAGGAAGTACAAGAAATGCAGACACAGGGACAGGGCAGGGGCTGCCTGGAAGGCCCTGGGAGAAGCGTGGGGGAAAATTAGGACTGAGGAAGCAACTGAGAAAGGAAGCTGGTCTTCTTGCTTCGGCCTCCAGAAGATGGGGCCACTTCCTGTGATGAAATCATGTTCTCCAATCCCCACCATCTACTGAGTAAGCCAATGCCAACCTCATTCTGGGGAGGGAGGGAGCTGAGCCTCCTAAAACCAGCACAGAGAGTCACCAATGGTCTCAGCCCCAGTATCTCGTCCCCACCCACCAGCAGTCACAGGCTGGCAGTGCCCTCGATTGGAGACGGTCCAGGGACCGTCCGGAGGGTGACTCATTACTGTTCTGGGCCTTATTTACCCCCTGCTCAAGGAAGGCTCCCAATTAGCCAGGGCTCTCACAGCTGTGGAGGGAATGACCTAAGGAGCATTATAAAAACACAGCCTCCTGGGGCTTACCCTCCAGAAGGGAGCCGAGGCCCAAGGTTGTGTGGTGCAACTTGGTGGGAGCATCCAGAAGGAGCAGAAGGCTCTGTGGACTCAGCGAGACTGGAGTTTGAGTCCTGGACCTACCTCGAAAGTCACGTGACCTGAGGCAGGGCTTCTCTGAGCCCTTGGTCTCCTCATCTGTGGAGTGGAGGACAGAGGGGCCTGCCGATCAAGTCTTGCCTCCTGTGGGTCGAGGCATGGGCTCCAGAAGGCCCACCTTCACCTCTTAACCCCAGGGATGGTGTGAGACTGCACAAAAGGAGCTGACCAGGGGAAGGAAGGAGCCTGGTAGGCCTGGGTCCTGGGCAGGGGAGCCCCTGCTGGGAGGGAGAGCGGCCAGGTGCAAGTTGGGTGTCCTTGGTGCCTGGTGCTGGGGTCAAGGCCATTTGATCACCAGTGGGTCCCTCCTCCTTCCTCTGGGGAGGCATTAGCTGGGCAGAGACTCATGGCTGCCTGTCCTCTGGCTGGAAGAGCCAAACTGGTCCTGCTGCAGCCCCTTCACCTGGACGACAGAAAGAGGCCAGGAGATGCCGAGAGCCAGTGAGAAGGAGAGGTGGAGAGACAGAGACTGACTCCTGAGGAGAGGTGGCCAGGAGCTGAGATGGAAGAGGCGAGGCCACAGATGGCCAAGGTATGGGGTGGCCATGTGAAGAAAGAACCATGAACCATGGCCATGTGAAGAAAGGCCATGAACTATGGCCCTCCATGTGAAGAAAGAAGTTGGGGGCCTTACTCACGGCTCTCTGTGCACTGACCACAAGGGAGGCGCTTTTGCAATGTAGAAAAAGAAGAAACCAGATTGATAAAGGAAGTGCTGGGTACTCCGGGGGCCCGCGAGTTTGGGGAAGCTCACCCTCCCTTGCTCTTCCGAAGGAACCTGATCCACGCTTTCCACGTTCCTCTGGACTCCCCGAGGAGGCACCTCTGTAGGGCCTGCCCTCTGGCCTTGACAGAGCTGCTTGGCTTCTCCTCTCCTGGGAGGAGAGTGAGACCATGGGTCCGTCCCTGCTGCTGTCCCTGCTGCTGCTGCCGGCATCTCTGCAGGCTGGTGAGTGTCCAGGACACCCTGGCTCTGCCCCGAGGGCCAGGAGTCCCCAGGAAGGGCTGTGGCTGGGCAGCTGGAGAAGGGGTCTGCTGGGGTAGCCGGCCAGGCCTCCCAGCTCCAGCGGGCTGCTCCCATGGTGCCAGGTCCTCCCCAACCCTTCACCCTCCTCCCTACCCCAAGCCCGGCAAGGGGGACACCCAGGCCAGAGGGCCAGTCCTGCCATCTGTCACACTTGGTGTGCTCTGTGAGTGAGGGTGCCAGAAGGTCTGGGGTTATCGTCCTCATCTCTCCCAGTGGCTCAAAGTCTCTCCTCTCTCTCCTCCAGGCAGCTCAAAAGCATGCAATCCAAACACTGACTTTGGGATCAACCAACCAGCGTCTCTCTCAGCCCCCGAGGGTGGTTCCACCTGCATCTCTTTCTCCTACTTCCACTGCTGGGAGTTAGCCAAGGATCCCAGACTGAGTATAGCCGTCAGACGGAGAGACTTCCATGGAGAGGTCATCTACAACAGCACCCAGCGTTTTATCCATGAGGATTACAAGAACCGGATCTCCCTGGACTTGAGAGAGGGTCAGAACTCTGGCACCCTGCGTATATGGAACCTGCGGAAAGAAGATGAGAATAGGTACTTTTGCCGGGTCCAAGTGGAAACGCTAAGAGACGGCAAACAGGTGTGGCAGTCCATCCCAGGGACCAAACTCACCATTACCGACGGTGAGTCCAGCTGCCCGGCAGCCACCACACCCACCCTGCAGGGTGCCCTCATCCCCCAGGCCTGGCCCAGGCCCCAATCTTCCTGCTCACCCCTTCTCTCAAACTCCTCTCCCCACCCCTCTCCCCTCCCCAGGCCTCTGCCAACTTTACTCTTTCTCCTGGATCTCCCCAAACCTGGGCTGCCTTCCTTGCCCATCCCCCTCACTGCCCCCTCCGGAGCCAGTCCCCACCCCGCTCCCCCAGCCTCAGCACCTTCCAGGCTGCCCAGGAATCCTCCCTTCTTGCTTCAAGCTGGGCCTCCAGTCTTGCCTCCCTCCCCTCACCCCACGCTGTCCAGGTGGACTTGACTTCTTCAGGGCGTGGTCTGCCTTCCCTTTGTCCTGTGTCCCTGTGAGTAGCCCCTGCCAGCCCCCAGTCTTGTGTCTCCCCACAGTCACGGGCTCAACCCAGCACACACAGCAGGTACCCAGTCATGACCCAAGACCCCTGTCCCCTGGCCACGCCCCATTACCTCTTTTCCCAGTCCCCCCTGCGTCCTTCTCCTGCTCTGCTCCTCGGAACCTGGCCCACGATGCTCCCTGCCCCAGCCCCTTCCCTCCTCTCCTTTTCCATCCCTCTCTTCCCCTCCTCTTTACCCTCCTTGCCTCCCCCCACCCCTGGTCCCCACCTCTGCCTGCACCGTCCCCATTGTCCACTCAGATCTTGCTCCTCCATCCTGGCCTTTGAGACATGCCATCTACAGCAGAAATATGGCGGCTGCCGCTTACCATGCACTGTGTCAGGTTGAACAACTAGGTGTACGTCACCCTGGTTAACAACCTTCCCCGCGACCCCACAGTAACAGTAGGCACTGCTCTTATCTTCCTGTTACAGACAGGGAAACTGAGGCCCAAAGAGCCTAAACGCCTGCCCAAAGCCACACTCATGGCGCAGGCAGGACTCGAACCCCGTTTCACCCCCGAGCCTCCACTCTTAACCTAGTAGCTGCTCAGCTTCACAGCTGACCTGATCCTATTGTTGTCTTCACCTATTTTAACCCAGGAACGGGATGTGTTACAGCAGCAGATCTTCCCATGTTACCCAGCAGGCCTTGGAAATTTGAACCTAGGTTTGTCGGTCTCCAGAGCGGTTGGGGAGGGAGCCCTTCCCAGGAGCAGGCACTAGGGGATGTACTGTCTGTAGAATATTATCTGTAGAAAATTCCTTAAAAACTAAAAATCCCAGGTCTGCTCTTTATAATCACTTGCACTGACAATTCTAACAACGTATCACTGCTCCTGGGTGGAAGGACACTCTCCGTGCCCCCACCCTTGGTAAACCACTGTCCCATCTGGCCACCGTGCTGGTTTCAGAGCAAATAGAAAGTGGCTCACAACCTGAATTTAGCAAGACAGCGTTGGATTTCTATTTCTGGCACCTCCTCCATATTCCCTTAAATGGCCTTTTTTGAGAGGTTTCCCTCTCCCCAGACCCCTCGTCCTCCTTCCCTGATCCTCCAACTTTCCTCATTTCTCAGTTCGGTCACATTTACTATGAGTTTTTCATCAGTAAATTAATTTTTCAATTAATACAATTAATTGGATATCTATACTCATATTTTTTAAAAATACAGGAAAGTAATAAAAAGAAACGTTTTTTTAATCCAAGTGAGGTGCCACCATGCAAAGACATCACCCTAAAGGAATATTTGCAGCAAATAGAACTGATAAGTTTGTGGCTAGTTTAACAATGTTTTCTATATACAGATGTTTTCCTTTTGTAGGCAAATCTCATTGTATTCTCCTTTATAATTTTCTCTTTTATTTCTTAGCCAAAAAATCCTATATCCCCTAGGGGCTGAAAAGATTTTAATTTCTTCTGATTTTTTAAATTATTAATTTATTTTTAATTTTTTAAATGTTTATTTATTTTTAAGAGAGAGAGACACAGAGGGAGGGAAGGGCAGAGAGAGAGGGAGGCACAGAATCCAAAGCAGGCTCCAGTCTCTGAGTTGTCAGCACACAGCCTGATGCTGGGCTTGAACTCTGGAACCTTGCGATCATGACCTGAACCAAAGTAGGATGCTTAACCAACTGAGCCACCCAGGTGCCCCTAATTTATTCTGATTTTTATATGACTTCACAATAAAACACATTAATATAGTGAGAATTTATTTTGATATATGGTATGAGGTGAAGAATTAAACTGATCTTTATACCAAGAAATGAATCAATTGTCCCAACCCCATTTATGGGATAATTTTTCTCTTCTCCATTGATTCCTAGGCCGGGCTTTTTGTAGAATAGCATCCTTTCTGGTCTGTCATCTCCATTTCACTGTTCTGTCTTTTCTTGTATCACTACCACTCTGTTTTAGTGATTATAACTTGGTCATGTTTCAGTGGCTGACAAGACTATTTCCATCAGAACCACATTACTTCCTCAAAAACTTTATTATTGTTTTGGCCTATTGTTTCACATAAATGTTGGAATAAGTTTGCCCGGTTCTGAGGAAAACACCTATCGGTAGCACTTACATTGGAATTGCATTAAATCTAGAAAGCAATTGATGAAAACAGAAGTCAGTGCAATATACAATCTTCCACCCAGAAATGGATCCTTGTTTTATAGCCCTCAATAACCTTGGGTGTGTTCTTCTAAAGACCATGTCAACATCTCACAAGAGATATTGCTTTCCTTTAAATCTTTTATTTTTATTATTAATATGCAACATTATTTCTGAATATTCATCTTTTTTTAAATTTTCACTATAAAATATTGCACAAATTCTGGCCAAGACGGTGGGTTATATGCATGTTTACATCCTCTCCCTACCAAACCCTACTAAAATGACAGCAGAGATAATTTTTTTAAGTTCATTGATTTATTTTGAGAGAGAGAGCATGGGAGGGGCAGAAATGGACAGAGAAAATCCCAAGCATGCTGATAGCATGGAGCCCAACACAGGGCTCAATCTCACCAACTATGAAATCATGACCTCAACCAAAATCAAGAGTTGGATGCTTAACCGACTGAGCCACCCAGGTGCCCCCCAAAGAGAATTTTTTAAGACAAAAATCCACAGGGACAAAAAAATATGTGAGCTATGTGGTGAAAAACAATATTTGGGAAGCTGGAAAGACATAGACTAATGTATCTGCTTAGGAGACCAGGGGAGCTAAGCCATAATCTGGCAGTGGGGAGCGCCAAAAGAAAGGCAATTCTTACACTGCAAAACCCCTCAACGGTTTAGGAAGAGCCACCCCAGAACCCCTGACAGTGGGAGTAAAAGGGGGTTGGAAAGGTGGAGGACTAGGTGATAATGTATTTAAGAAGCAGGGAGGGGGGGCTGGTTGGCTCAGTAGGTTAAGCAGTTGATTTCAGCTCAGGTCATGATTTCGCAGTTTGAGAGTTCGAGCTCCAGGTCAGGCTGCGAGTTCGAGCCCCAGGTCATGCTCTGCACTGTCAGCAACCTACTTCAGATTCTGTGTCTCCCTCTCTCTCTGCACCTCCCCACTCACACTCTGTCTCTCTCTCTCTCTCAAAAATAAATAAACATTTTAAAAGTTTTAAAACAATAAAAAGAAGCAGGGAAACTTCTACACCCCCTCCCCACCCAGCAGAGACTGGAGATTTGCTTTCTAGAAAGAATGGAGCAGAGGGACTCTGGGGGCAGTACCCTAGGCATACCTGGGGGCAAGAGTTCAGTCTTTAAAACTGGAGACTTGGTGAACTGATGGGATCCTAAATGCCTTACCCCCTTAGATGCCTCCTAGGACTCAGGATAGCCCAGCTGGTATCCCCTACCCTACCATGGCAAGAAATCAGGAGATTTTTCTCTAGGAAATCTATCTGATGGGCTCAGAAAGGATTCAGAAAGCCTAACAGATCCTACAGCCCACTAGCTAACAAGCACTTTCTCCCAGACCACATACACAGCTACCAATCAGCGTGGCAACCAAGCGTGGCAACACGCTGGCAACCAAGGCAGCAAGATGGGGTCTTGGCCTGGCATGGAATCCCCCAGTCCTGATGATTGACAACTTGCCTCTGCTGTGCCTGGAATGCCTGAGGCTAGAGATGCCATTTAAAAATATGATTACATTCAGGGGTGCCTGGGTAGCTCATTCAGTTAAGCGTCCAACTTCAGTTCAGGTCATAATCTTGCTGTCCGTGAGTTCAAGTCCTGTGTCAGGCTCTGTGCTGACAGCTCAGAGCCTGGAG